TATTAAAACAACATCATTTATTCTGGTTATATCTTCCTTGAAAATCCATCCTACCTATGTAATAAGTCTTTATTTTTGATTTATTCATTTTTGTGGTGCTAGGGATGGAACCCAGGGCCTTGTACAAACTAAGTGACTTTTCTACCACTGAAGTAGACCTTACATTTCTCGTTTATTTTTCTATCTTCCAAATCACTTATCTTTCTTCTAATCATTTTGTATTTCTCTTACTCATAGATTGTTATTTATTTGACTTCCTGCAACTTTGATTCTTGTTAGTATCGTATCAAAAAATTGGCTTTTAATTCCATTTTAATTTTAGTTTGCCTGAATTTAATTCTTACCTGTTGACTTCTTTCTCAATCTCAGAATCTCCAGTATCACCTCTTTTATCTCAAGCTTTATTTCTTCTTTCAGAAGGTAATGCTGTCTAGTATTAAGAGCACAAAAAGCACAATTATTTTTTATTTTATGCACTAAACTTTTTTAAAAAGCATACTTCCTCTATACCACATTAATCTAGTCTCTCAGTTTATGTTACTAAGATTTTCACAAAGCCAGTGTGTGTTTACCCTATCCCCAAACCACACACATAAATACTTTCTAACAAGACCAGATCTATCACAGTTGGGTATACTCTGTATCCACAAGATTTTTCCTCTTAAATATTTAGCTAGAGAGAACTCTACGGTGCCCATTCTCCAGACTGATTTCTGGTACTTAGTTGTAGTATGCACTCTTACACTGTTAGACCATAGAATCAATTTTTCCCATTTCTTTCCCTTCTCCTTTGTAAATTGACATGAATTCGTTGCTAACCAGTGAAGTATTCCATGATTTCTCCATGGTCTGAAGTGGTGTATATATACTCTAATTCTAAGAATGCAGTGCTTTCAGTTACATAGTAGATTGTCTTTTCCGAAGGTGGATACAGCGACACATTTCCCCATCCCGAGGCTCATCCCACAAGGTGACCCTGATCCCTTCATCCATCGGTGCTTCCAAGTGGCACTGACCCCCTGCACCAAGAGGTGAGTGCTGTTCTTTCCCCTTGAGTTCAAAGGGAGTTTTCTTGCTGCTTCCATTCACAGCGTGCTGTGGGAAGATGTCTGGGTGAATTGGGAGGTTCTAGAAGTTTCAGGACACCCTCTGTGTGGCAAACTCCCTGGGAGCCCTCAGATATAAATGAAAGCCAGCTGTGCTCGGAGGCCACCATGCTGGAGAGCACAGGGAAAGCACGCAACAACCAACTCTTCCAGCAGCTGATGTTTGAGACTTCCTAGCCCAGTTAGCAGGCATACAAATCCAATGGAGAGCTCACCTTGCAGCTTCCCTCGCTGACCACAGAACCCATCTCTCCTGCTGACCTGTGTCCTGATTGCAGATTAAATATCAACCAAAATAAATAGCATTGTTTTCAACCACTGAGTGTTGGATTGGCTTGTTACACATTAGGTAGTCATTGTTTTAAAAGTTACACAGCAGGTCATTGTTTTTTAAAAAGCTACTTGCACCTACGTCGTCGCTTACATCCCAGGTTCCCTCTGCAATTGCCTAGCACCTTCTAACTGACAATCGTTGCTCAGGATCCTAGGTATAAAGCCTTTTTCTGCCCTTGCAGTGATTTGGACTTTCACATATATTTTCATAAAAGCTAAGAGGAGAAAATCCAGGAAGCTGATCCAGAAGTTCAGCCTCTACTTTCTTTATGAGGTTCAGATGCTGCCGGGACAGCAATCAGATACCAAACACAGTAGCCCATGCGCCAGCCCCCAGCCTTGTTTGTCCTGAGTGGCCCAGGTTCCCTGTTCTGGGACCATATGGTGAGGGGGCTCCACAAAAATGACAATCACCACCATCTTCTTTGGAGCCAACTGCTCTTTAAAAGGCCCTGGTACACCAGAAAGGGAAAGAAGCATGAATGCTGAAATACCACTTTATACTGGACTCTACTGACCATATTTTAGTCCAACTTTTCTCTATGATGTCACTGGGCCATGTCTGAGAGGTCCCTGAGGCTGAAACAGGGCTCTATCTTTCCCTTTTTGTAGAATAACTTCTCAGGTTTGCTGACCCTTGCCTGGAGGTGGAGAATTCTTCAGGATTCATCAGTAAAAGAGACAAGAAAAGGAATTATTAGATTTTTTAAAGGTCTCTCCATAGTGGAAAGCAGGTGTCAGAGAAAATGAAAGGCTCTGTGAACAACAGCTGGGTCTTCAGGATGGGCGATTTAGAATGTGCATAACATAACTTTTTAATGACTGTGTGGGTGTAAGACCAATTTTGGGGGGTACAATTCTGCACATCCTCTTGGTAGACCCTCAGTGTCTTTTTCTACAGTATACCTTATTTATACTGTACCTTATTCGCTGGTTGTATTGTATAGTACAGTACTGTGGTTTTGTGATCCATTATATACTACAGTACTGCATACAAGAGTCATGCAAATAAAACCAAAGTCACCAAGTCAGTATTTCCTTTGAGTATGTCTTTGTCCTGAATATTGTACTGTACATGCTATCTATGAGTTTTCATTTAGTGACCAGTTCATTTAGTGACCTAATGGCAGGCACAGATAGAGACGTGGTAATCTCAGAGTCTGTCATGCTACAGTGCAAGCCATCTGTACATGTCTGATGTTGAGATCCGCTGCCTTCCAATAGTGCTGCTTCCTGGGACAGAGGAAGGGCAACGTACAGGTGAAAAGGACAGGCGAAGAGCTCAGATCTACAATTTATTGCGAAAAGGCCTTTAGGACTGACTTTGTTTTCTTTTCTTTTCTTTTCTTTCTTTCTTTCTTTCTTTCTCTTTCTTTCTTTCTTTTCTTTCTTTCTCTTTCTTTCTTTCTTTCTTTCTTTCTTTCTTTCTTTCTTTTCTTTCTTTCGTTCTTTCTTTCTTTCTTTCTTTTCCTAGAAGGGAAAATGGCTTAAGTAACTTGTCTTGAAGCTGAACTTTTTCTTGAAAGCACAACTTTAAAATCTGAATTTTCTTGTGTTTCTGCCTAGTTTTTATTTCTTCCATCTCACCTCACTGAAATATATATATACAGGGAGGACTACAGGCCAACCTCATTAATGAACTGTATATACATTCTGAGAATCTTGACAAATCAAGTTCTGATTTTCACTTCGTGACCGAGGCCTATGAGCCTGAATTTTTAGCAGGCAACCCCATCCCCAGTGACGTCAATGCTATGGACAAAGGATCATCCTTTGAGCAGCGTGTCCCTGGCAGCCCCTTGCTGCCACTTCCTGGAGGCAGCCCAGCAGGACTCCTGCTTCCTGTCTGGCTGGGCGTGGGGCTACAGCTGCTGTGGCTGTCTTGCTCCTGTCCTCCAGTGCTCACAGGGTCTCCTTGCCTTCATGGCCTAGTGAGGAGGGGCTTTGTCTTGTGTTCTCATACTGACGCCCGGGGCCTGGCCCTTCCAGAGGACAGATCGTTGGAATGAAAGACACTGACCAGAAGCCAGAAGGGAGAAGGACCTTGAGTGCTCTCAGCTGCAGGATTAGCACTAGGGCAGCCATTGACACCAGTGGTGGGGGAAGCAGAGAGTGGGGAGTTGGCAGCACACTTAGAGAGTGTTCTCCAAGCACCTCCTGAAGCGGGAGATGCTTCAGCTCAATCCCAAGACACCAGTACACGTGCTCCATTGAAGAAAGGGGAGGGAAGGGCCTTCCATACAGTCAGCAGCCTGTCCTGAAGGAAGTGGTGGCACTCTGGGCTCATTACTGCCATCACCAAACAGGGTCCACACACAGGGCAGGTGTGAAGGGCTGAGAGAGGGTTAGAGCAGTAGGCACGCTTGCTCAGAATGGGGCATCTCCACAGAAATTTACCTTCTCACCATTCTCAAGACTACAAGTCCAAGATCAAGGGGTCAGCAGGGTCGGTTTCTTCTGAGCTTCTTTCTCACTGGCAGATCCCACCACCACCCAGCTCTGTACTCACTTGGATTACCTTCGATGCTCACCTGGCTCCTAATCAGCTCTCTACCTGAGGACAGCCAGATGGGACCAGCACCCTCTCCTATGACCCCATTTGACCTCAGTTCCCTCTTTAAAGGCCTGATGCAGAATGTAGTCACATTCTGAGGTGGTGGTGGGGGTAAGACTTCATCAAGTGAATTTTGGGGAGACACACCAGCCCACGACAGGTGGCAAAGGGTTGGAGGTCTTCTGCTCTGCTTGCCCATGTTCTTGCTTGCTGTGCCATGGTGGGGCATCTGCCTGCAGGGTTGGGAGGAGGAGCAGAAGGAAGCTGGGGTGTGAGCAGGATACCAACCTGAGCCTTGTCTCCTGCTCATAGGACTGAATCAGCTTCCTGTTACTGCACACTACACCATGTGGATTTTCCCTTATGTCTCTAGGAAATCTTTTTCTCTTTAGCCAGCCCCATGGTTAATGCATCATGCCCACCTGGGGTACCTGGGCCGGGTGTCCACTGCCTTTCAGGAGGGCAGAGAACTGTGGCCACTTCTGCCAGGCCTGGAACCCACAGAGCTCTTGGCATACTCCAAGCTTGTCACCTCCTATTTCCTTTGTGAGGCCTTGAGCGTATTTCCAACCCTGGCTCCTGTCTCATTTGCCTGCAGTATCAGCTGCTACCTCAACAGTACAAAGGTCTATGTGCATTTTCAGGGGCCAGCAGCAAAGCAGGGCAAGTCTTCCTCGGAGATAGCCAGGGAGAGGCATTGTGTCAGGGGCAGGGCTGATGGGGACAGTTTCTGCTGTGGGAAGGGGGTGTGTACAGTCACACAGAGGACTAGGACAAAGAAGAGAGTCCTTGGGGAAAATGCTTGGAAGGAAGTTTTCTACAAGCCTCGACATCTTCTGCATCTTTCTCTATCCTCAGTGTCTTGGCAGGAAGCCTGGTAGGAGCCACAAAGGGACAAATGATCCTTTTTATTTTTAAAATGAAACACACTTCCTACCTTTAAGAGCCTACCTGAGAAACAAATTCTATTTATGCACATATCAATAGAAGGCATTAAATGATAAGCACCTCAAATGCACCAGCACCGGTAAATGTTGATTAGTTTTATCCTTTATCTTCTGCCTCAAAAGTAATTGTCTGTACATATTAACACATTCCCCAAACCCTAGCTCAACCAATTCCTCCAGTTTCTACTCATGCTTTTTCTCTACTCGTGTTCTTTCTCTACTTGACTCAACATTTTTTAAAAAACTGCCTTCACACTGATGCTTAGCCTTTTATTTCTGAGCTTTTGAACATGTTCAAATTAAGAAAGATAATTTAGAATACGGAACTTAAAACGTGAATGTGCTGAGAGCACACAGTGGCTCTGCTGCGGAAACACACACGAGTGAGGCTAGTCCAGAAATGTGCATGAGGGGAGCAAGACTCTAAGGGGAAGAAGCAGGCTTTGGCTCAGCCCAAATCTTAGCTTCAAGCCAAAGAAGTTGGCCCAGCCTCAATCCTACCCTTGGTTGAACACAATACATGACTGGTGCATTTTCAGAAAATGGAGAAACATCTCATCCACAGAGTGGAATCTAATCATCTATTTTTCTACCCCAGTGACAGTCGGAAACCATTCTTTGCATTTATTTTTTGACGGGGTATCTTCTTGTGAACAAAACTGAAGCTGGCAGAAGACGGTTCATGTGAATTACTCGAACAACAGTTTTTCATTGTGTTGAATCACACTGAGGCCACTTGCTGCGAAATCTTGCCACAGCCTAGGAGCAGTGGAAGGCATTGTCACGTTCTCCCCTCATGACCATGAAGTTAACCCACTTGACTCCTACAGAAATGCACTCACGGTCCTCTCTAGAGTTGGGGAGAAAAGTTCACTGGATTCTAATCACTAAACATTTGCCTGTAGCTCATTACTATTTTAGGAAGCCAAAGGCAGGTCTTCCAACCTTCTTTCAGCTTCCCCAGATTGGATTTCAAGATTATGTGGTTTCTGAATGGTTGGAAGACCTTGAGTAGCCAACAAAAAATTCATGAAGGAAGGCTTAACTAGCAATATTGTCACCTGACTTTGATGTTATCTAGCTCAGAAAGGTAACTGAGAGGCCAAATTAGTCCCCAAGGCTCCCTCTGCATTTGTAACACCGATGCATTTTTTTATTTTCAATTCTAATCCTAGGTCCATTCAATTCCTTTACTCTACACAACAAATTACAAACACAACCTTATCCAACATACTATGACCTTACAGAACTCAAATTTAATAGCACTGGCTGTACAATAAAAGCCAAACAAAAGGAATGTACATGTTTGCCAAGATAACCTGCAAGACCACCATTGAATGGCAGGAGACATGGCAGGGGGTGATGCATTTTTAAGTTCACCACCCACAGGAGGACAGCGGGGTGGAATTAGTCCCAGCTTGGAAGGGGTGGCTGCAGCACTTGCCCAAGACGGCATTTAATGTCACCTGGTTCCAGTGTTGGCTGGAGCATAAGCTCCATTTGCCTTGGTCTTCCAGAAATATCAGTTTCCCTTTCAGAGGCTGGATGGAAAGGAAAATTGCAGACCTTTGAGGCCCCCTTCTTCCTGGGTATGCTCACCAACCCACAGTGAGTTCAGTTCAAGTTCAGTTCCCGCCAGCTACCAGCTATGCATTCTGAAAAGCCATGTGCTGCTGCTTCTGATAAGTAAATTGGTTAAATAAGCACAGCGCTGCCTGTGTGAGGGGGCTGGGTGCAACACAGGACGCAGAAGTATGAGCACCAGTGTGCAGTGTAGATGCAAAGATGATTAATTACTATTTTTCTGCTTTTCCCTTTGCATGGCCAGCCAGGGACTGCCAAGCAGAAGCACCTGTTGCTCCTGAACCCTTTACTATCGCTGAAGCCCTGATCTAGAAGTAAAGACAGCTGGCAAAGGGGGAAGGGAGCGGAACATATTGGTTCCCTCTTTCCTACAGCTGGGAGGCTGAAGCCTTATTGGCTCTAGGCTACCTTTAATGATTCTTCAGGCTTCAGAAGCAGGACTGTTTCCATGGCTATTTATGGTTAATTATAGGAAAAATTTAGAGACTAATCTGGAATCTTCTCTCCAGTGCCAAATGTGTTTAATTTCTCTAAAGACAGCTAAGCTTTACAATCTAAAATGAGTGGTTCAATAAAGAGAGATAAAGTCTGCCTCCGTCTCAGACTGCACAAGGTGATGTGATATGGGTGCAGGGCTCGGCTTAAATTGAAGTCTTTCTCACTTCAGCTGTGCGATGTTGAACCCAACTGGCCACTACCACTCTCAGACTACCTTATTTATAGAGGAACAATATTGGTCCATCCTCCCCAGCAGACAGGCCACCAGGTGATGCATGAGATAATATTAAGCATTTTTTCTGTATTTTTTAGGGAAGGGTCTACAGGGTGTCCAGGGTCTCACTACTAGATCAGACTCATAGTGATCCACCCATTTAAACCTCTCAAGTGCTGGGATTACTGGTGCACACCACCCCGCCCAGTTTCAATTGCCATCTCAGTGCAACCCGGGGGGCAAGGCCAGCATGTCAAGCCCAGGGATTGAACCCCTGGCCTCTGCACCTGCTTGCAGGTGCTTTAATCCACTGAGCTATTTGGCCAGTAAGTAGTTATTAAGAACCTGATTCAAGGTTAACCTTTGAAACCTTTCCTGGACAACTGACACTGGTCAGGTTAAACTTTCAGGAGATCAGTTTTCTCACTTGCAAAACAAGGCTGACTGTGGCATCTAATTTAGAAGATTTTTGCTGGGATTAAATTATAACTGAAACACTAAGAAGCTCTGTTTCTGGCCAGACCAGGAACAAAATAAACATTCGCTCTTATTATGATGTATGGAAATAAAGGCTTGAAGACTAATGTACTCCAAGTGACATTTCAATAGTGATAGGATCCCTGTTCAGAGAGAAACTGAAAATCTCAGGGTAGCTTTGCATCTTGCAGTGACCCAGGAAGGGAACACGGCTAGCTCGTCAGGAGTCTTGTCAGGAGGGGAGGGACTCTCACAGTGTCAGGGCGATGGGGAGGCTGAGACCAAAGACGCCATAGAAAAGTGGCTCAGTACTGGTGGGGGCTGGGGATGAAGGAGGTGGTGGGGAAGGGCTCCCGCAATGTGACTGACAGGAATGACCTAGTGAGTTAGGTCATGGTCTGGGGAACATGGAAAAGATTGGGGGGTGGCCTAGAAGGGAAGGAGAAACCTCAAAGCAGCACCAACCCTGGGTGAGATCATGTCTGGGGCCACAAAAAGATGGGTCAGTGTATACTTACATGGCCTGAGTAAATGATACCCCTACTGTTACACTATTCGCAAACAAGTTCATGGGGAGAAAGTAAAAACTATGGTAGCGTTAGGTGCTGTTCACTTAAAATATTTTTTTCTTTTCAATTTTTGATAGAAGACCTCTCTCGGTGTCTAATTTGCCCAGATTGAGCTTGAACATGTGATTGTCCTGCCTCAGCCTCTTGGAATACTAGGATGACTTTGGGACAGGGGAGTCGAGGACAGTGAATAATTTTTATTGACAGAATTATCACTGAAAGGCTTTCTGAAGGATCAGCCGGGCCTCCCAATCGACCTAGAAGTTGCTAAGTGTTTCCTGGTACCTGTCCAGTTCTGTCTGAGCTTCGAACAGCTGAGACATGGTGCACTGTGTCCCAAACTCCTTGGAAATGCTGCCGGCGAGGTCTCGTGATGCATTCTGCCACAGCCGGACATTGAAGCCAAAGCCAAGCACGACAGCGGCCAGGACCACGGAGCCCGGAGAGGGCTCAGGCCCAGGCAGGACTGTGGTTGACCGCTCCGCAGACAGGTTCCAGGCAGTTGAAGGGCTGGACAGGGCCCTCTGCTGGGGTCGCTGCGACTGTGCAGTCGCCTGAATCCCGTGGCTGGGGTGACCCCAGTGTGCATGTCTCCTGATGGGTGAATAAAAATTCCACTTTGCCGTGTTTCAGCTCCCTTCTCCGCTTCAGAGCTCGGGAGTGCAGCCCAGGACCTGGGGGAGAAGCCCAGGGCAGCTCTGACCTCTGGCAGCTCTCCAAGCCCGAGGGTGCACCCTCCGACCTCAGAATCCCGGGTCAGGGGAAGTGCACATGCCCATCCTTCCTGGGCTCTCCCTATTCTCTCTCTTCCTGGAAACACCCTCTCTTCTCCATCCAGAATCCGGGCGCCACCGCTCCAGGTTCCAGTTTCGGGGCTGCCTCCTGTGCCCCGGTGGGCTTCGCGGGAGTAAGAACGGTGCACAGTGTCCCACAGCGCCACCTAGAGGCCGGGAAGGACCTCCCTTACTCTACCCTTCCCGGGTTTCCTCACTCCCAGCTCCGCTAGGATTCGCCCCTTCCCGGTTCCTTCTGCCGCCCAACCCTACCCTCTCCCGCCGCGCTCAGCGCCCCATGCCCTCCCCTTCGCGCCTCCCCCGGGGTGCACCGGCAGCGAGAAGCGGCGGGGCTGGGGCGCAGAGCAGCGACCGGGCCCGGGCCGGGCAGACGGGTGCGGACGCGCAGGCGAGGGGCAGCGGCG